TCGTGATCCCTTTTGTTTTTCCATCGCGTACGCATAGCCGATCTCAAACGCCTCCTCGAAGACTTCCTCAAGGCCTTCCTGAAAATGGCCATGTTACGCAGAGTGCTGTAGAAGCTGTTTATGGATTCGAAAATCCTTCTCGAAGCTCTCGTCTTCCCAAAAATGGGAATTTGTCCAACCCCTAAAATAAACCCTTGAGCGCACTCACCCCGGTAACCTCTGAGCATTCGAGATATTTGCTGGCACCGATTTGCTTTGCAAACGTCTCGGCGCGATGGAGGGGCATTGGCAGATAATTCGCTTCGCCACCGTAGCTGTTCTCAATCCTTGTCTGGAGACGTTTCTCGCATTCTGTGTGTTCCATACAAAGGACGAACGGCACCCCACGGATACTGTCAAGTATCGTATTTATTCAGTATCTGAATTTTCATTTGAAATTTATAGCCACTTAAATTTTAAAAAATCCACAGAATAAGCTGACCTTACCATTCTCACCGTCTCCTCAACGTTGGCTTGTCGAGCGACCGATACGCAAAGCAAAAACACATGCACATCCTCACTATCATTTGCCATGGTTGAGTCAATGAAAGTGCATTTGCGCCCGTTGAACGCGGTCACCACTTGCCCATTCTGGAATTTGTGAATGGTTAAGGGACAGTAAAGGCTATAGAAGATCTTCTTACCGTAATGTCATAGGGGACACCAGCGTAGGAGGCATATTTCTTGAGCATCATCTCCTTCCCACTGACCGAATCGCCAATGATCACGCAACGCACCGAATTCACTTGTGTTAAATTCGTCATTTCTGTAGGCTTTTCTGAAATTGAGGGAAAATACCATTGGTTAGACTACCTGGTAAAATGTATCAAGCCGTTATTTATAAATATGGAAGGAAAAGGTGGATGAAAACGCAAGAAGGCCGAGAGGATTATGTAAGGGGAGAGCGTGGAGGGTCCAGGGGTCTATTTACCACTACACGCTGCCCTTTGCGGTATTTGTAACTACACGATCAAATTGGTGCAGTATTTCTGCTTGAATGTGAAAGCAAGGGTACTAAGCGGATGCTAGTAACGAAAAAGGGAGAGAATCCCTGTCAAAGTCCAACAGGGATCCTCTCTTCTCCTGTACAAGAATCTGCGGGCAGTTAGACATCAAAATAGTAAAATATATTGTGCGCTGATGAGAGAAACGGATTTTGAAACAAGAGAGATGAGCGGAGACGCAGACGAAGCTGTTGAGGGCGGGACTTGCAGTTGGGGAATTTTCTGTGTGCGAAGGAAAGGTATAGTGAACTTCGACAGGAGATTTGACCTAGTCATAGAAAAGAATGTTCAACCTGATCCCTTCTGAAGGTGCGCTTTTAAAAAATCCATTTCGGATCGATCTGAGCCCCCATGTGATTTCAGTGGACTACAAAGAAGTAGAGTGATTCAGGTTAGAAGGTGGGTGAAGTGATCACTCTATCGCATCAAGACCTAATGAAGGTACGGCTGTTTTGAAGTGCTGGGCATTAGCCGCTAAGGGCTCTCTCATAACTAGAAAACAAAATACGATCGGCATGCCAGCCAATTGTATGATCTGTTAGGGACTGGATGAGAGACGATCGAACATCCCATTTGGGACCTTCGCGATTCCCGAACTCCGGAGAAAAGCTGATATGACAAACGTAGACTCAGGATTAGCTGCCGCTGTAGTTATTCACGTCTCATTCATCCCATGCAAGAACAGACCTTACCAGTTGTACTGGAGCATGGCACCAAACCTTGGGGGGAGGGGGGGGGAAGGGGCAGTGCTTCAGTGATGGTCAAACAAGTCCGGCAGACGTATTACGTTTTTTCATGGGGAGTGCAGTTTCCTCCAGGGTAATTTGCTTAAAAAACCGTTTCGAAGGTGACTTTGGGATGGTAAAAAAAAACAAGTGATACCTTTTCTATGGAATGAAGCTTGAGCGGGAACTTCATGATGAGAAAGCAGCTCTGAATAAAAGCCAGCACGGGATCCTCTGTTTATATAGTGACTTACTGGTCTCTTTTTGATCACAATGAGAGGCGTACACGATCCGTAGCGATGTACGCAAATAGACGTCATTTCGAGTGCATGTGAAGAACATGTATGTGTGCGCAAAACTTTGCAGTAATCCGCCAGCGAATCAGCTCGATTTCGCCAGTAGAGAACATCAGAAATAGACCCGATTAGGTTCTACGGGTGGCATCAGTTTACGTCCAGAGCAAAGATCAAGGATCGCTCTGTCGCTGATGAGCTGCGACAGTTCGGGACAGTTCAAGTGGCCAAAGACAACCCCACTTCCTGCACGTGAACTGCACTCACTACTGCACCGTGACAGAATGAAAAATCCGAGTCTCATCAAGTAAGTGGGGGGGGGGCATTGGTGCATGAAGTATCCACTTTTTTCAGGGGAGGGAAGCTCCGGGGTGGGTGTAAAAGTTTAAGCGAAATGGTTCACGCACCCCGGGGATTCCCTCCCTTGCAAAAATTGGAATTTCTGTAGCCGGCAAGAACTGTCACACCACATGCCCCCCTTACTGGATGAGACCCAAAAACCCCTAAAAACTGGAAAATAACAGACTGCCCTCAAAAATCGCTGCATCTACAAAGAGTGACTGAAATCCACCTTTCCCATAGAAGCAACACAGAGGTGGTAGATACCATCTGTTTTGATCGATGCCTAGGCAATGACAACAACTCCATCCTTGAAGAAGCTGCACACGATAGCTTTCAGGGAAAAAGTCCAAGATAGGCTAAGACAGGAAAGGTATTCACCAGCACATTGGCGACGCCGTGGTTCCAGTACTGTGCCACATTTTGCAGGCTGCGGGACGACGTGATTCCATACTGAATCACGACACTTTGCCGAATGCGCGATGGCCAGTTCCTTCGCGGTTTCTCTTCGAGTTCCTATTACATCAACGAGAAAATGGCGTTGTTGCAGGTTGGCTTCAGTTCTGGGCTTCCGAAACGAGCTTTGTAAGACACGGTACAATCCCATATCAAATCCTGGCCCTTGCGAATTGCGCCGAGCCACCGGTCCAGTCGCCAAAAAAGAGAAAATACTTGTTTTCATGAACATGTTAGTCGTTTTCGACTACCCCAAGCTGTTGCCACTTCTCCCTCATTTTTTATTGGTTTATGCAGTAAATAACAAGGACAAAGGGCTTAAGGTTCCGTCAACCTTTTAGTGCAGAACGGCGCAGGGTGACGTCAGTCGAGTTAAACGGTAGATTGGTTGTGGTGACAACAATGATCAAAGAGAAACCGCGGAACCTAGGCTCTAAACATAAGAGAACAGATCTGCTGAAGTGGAAGGTTTTTGTTGGCAAAGGAGACAGGGGTGACCATATTATGAACCCAGAACTCGATTGAGACCCCCAGCGCACTAATACTGTGGCCTCTTGACTTGACTGTTTCGCGTGACGGCGGCGATCACCGAATGTGGCCACAATCTAAGATAATGATGCTATCGGAAATGCTCTAACGATGCGTGTGAAAACTAATGCTGCTGGAATCACCTTTCTGCCTTCATTGGAACTTATCAATCAGTTGATCTAAACATTTTCGAACTTTCACAAAAAAATTGCAGAAAGGAGAAAGTGCTCCCAGAAAAAAGCTTGGACCTTTTGGCAGGAGTTTATTATATGTATATTTTTTGTTTTTTTTTCTCTGAAAAAAAGCTCTGAACGAAAGGAATGAAGGAGGACCGTGTCCCTCGAGCGAGGAGGGTCCACTGGACAACTCTTGCACGCGACAGGGACGAATGGAGACGTTGCTGGCGCCCGCTCGAGCAATTCGATGATCAACGGGACGACAGGTGATACAGGTGATATATTTTTGTTTTATATTCTATAAGCTTTCAGGAAACTTTTATGACTTTGTGAAAGCTGGAGAATTTCACAAGCTTTCAAACGTTCTTGAATTTTTGCTTTTTTCCATGTACGCGAACGTTTTTAAAGGCAAGCCTCGGGATTAGCCCTAGATTGTTGGAAGGATGCCGCGAGGAAAAATTCGGGGTCCATGCCTACATAGATCATGCCAGCTTTATCGCACAATTGCGCAGAGAGGCTAAACCGAGGCTGCCAACCCAGTCCACACCATTGCAAACGAACTCACCCTAACCTAACGCCAATGAGTTCGAGATCAGTCTCTCGAACGAGCGGCTCCTCTACGTGTTTTGCCTTCTCTGATCGCTTGAATGCGCTCTTGTACCGCCTTCCGATGCGACTGAAAAGTTAAGGTTTTAGCCTATACTGCGGTGACTTCCCTCTTCCCTTTTACTTTCAGATTCTGCTATTCTGCAGTCGCCTTGCTGCCTTCTGCTTCTCATACAAAGGCGCCTCTATCCACCAGATTTATCCGGCAGCTTGCGACGGTTTGAATCGGGAGATTGGGAACAACCTTATTACGTCAGCTTTCCTTTTTCCTTCAGTGATTGTGAGCTCGAGAGTTATTCGCTAGGGAAAGGCAGATGCGTATAGTTCGAAGGCCCAGAAGAGAATGTCGCGGCAGGATCACTAGATAGACTCGCAGTCTGCAAGGAGGGATTAGCGTCGTAAAGGTGGGGGTTGAAGGCAACATCTCAGGAATGGAAACTGATGCGTTATTACGCTTGTAATTGGCAGTGGAGATGTGAAGGACAGCATCAATAATGAATAAACGGGAAGAAACCGTCGACCAGGACGAAAATAAAGTTTCCTTCAGAAGCGGAGGAAAATAGCGCTGATGTGGGTAGGGCCAATGGCATTGGAATGTCCGTATCAGCTTGTCAAATCATTCAGACATCAGTCCACTGCTTTTTTTATGGGGGGGAGGGAAGATTGAGCCAGAAATCTTGGTCCCTGCCCTTAAGTCTGAACATTTTGCAATGTCGCTTGCCGTGACTGACGACACGGCGCGGAAAGCCGAATTCATAGAATTTTGTAGAACAAAAAAAAACTATTTTGGCGAGCGCGCTTTCAAAAAAGAGGGTCACTTGATAACAAGTTTGAAAACTGGGTGACAAATAGGAAAACAATAGGAAAAATCTTTCAATGCGTGATCTTTTGGTTACGTAGTGGTACAAGTTCCAGCCCATGGTTAAGAAAAGCGGGTTTTCAGGAAAGCAACTGGCCAAAATCAGATAAAAGTTGTTGAATATAGGTTGTAACTCAGTTCTGGGTAAACAGAGAATTGAGTAGCCACAAGAACGTGGGTCGGCATCTTCCACCTCTGGACTTCTCATTGGAACGGGATGAAGCCCAACCGAACAGTTAGGGAGACTATGACAGCTATAGAAGCTTCGTGGAACTTCCGATTTCCGTTTGAAGCTGCGGCTGACTGAAAAAATGGCAGGAACGACGTGATTCACGGGCTGGCATCACTTTTGCCCCAGTGTTTGTTCACGTGTTCTCGCTAATGTTTCAGCCATTCATTCCATTCAAAAGGGTTCGCTTCAAAGGGTGATATCATCGGCGTGATTAACATAACGGAAGCAATGGTATCTCTTTGTGATAGCAATGATTCAACCTAGGAGAAGACACGGATGACGTCAAGACGATCGGAAAAGGGCCGATTTCAATGCAGAAGGAGGAGAAAAAAGAGCATCTAAAGAAAGTCCTTGCGTGGGCCATCAGATGAATTAAAAATTTCTTAGCACATTTGAACGTAATCCAGCATGGTGCATGACAAGCGAGAATTCTATTAATACTGTGTATCGGAAAATCAGCTACTCGTCGGGTGCAGACCACACAACACAAATGACGACTACTAATGACTTCGATTAGAATCGTTCGATCGCGACGCGAAGGAAAGG